ATGACTGTGCTAATTTATATATTTAGCTTCCTCCGTAGTTCAATGAGTAGAGTATGCCTCCAGTGCAGAAGACCTGGGTTCGATTCCTGGGTCAGGCAGATCCCCTGGAGAAGGAAATGGCAACCCACTCCAGTATTCTTGCCTGGAGAATCCCATGGACAGAGAAGACAAGCAGGCTACAGTCTATGGGGTCACAAGAGTTGGACACAACTGATCAACTTAGTACCCACACACACATGTATTTTCTATCACTGCTTTCATGCTTCAGTGACAGAAATAAGTAATGTCACAGACTTGCAAACATAAAATATTTGTGACAGCTTGCAAACCATAAAATATTTGTTCTTTGGCCTGTTATAGAAAAAGATTTCCAGTCACTGAAAATATTGAAAATTTCTATCCATGAACACGGTATAATGCTCCGTCTCCGTTTATTTAGGTCTTCTGTAATTGTTAGCAACAACTTTTGCCGTTTTCAGCAGGCCAATCTTGCACTTATCTTGTTAAAATATATATCTAAATATTTCATGCTTTAATGCAAAATTATTTCTTTTTAAAAATTTCAGTTTCCAATTACCTGTTACATGTATAGATACAGTTAGCTTTAAATTTTATATTTTGATGTGTCCATGTGTTCTATGACTTTGCTAAACTCACTTATTTTTCTAGAAACTTAAAAAGGCACTTTTGATCATCTATAAATAATTCTGTCATCCAAGAAAGAAGGCAGTTCTATTCTTCTTTCCTAATATATGTGTACTTTATTTCTTTTACTTTTTCTATTGCTCTTGCTAGAATCTTCAGAATAATCTTGAATAAAAAGGTAAAGACCAGAACTCCTTGTCTCTTTCTTGATCTTTGAAGGAAAATAATTCAGTTTTTACAGTTGAGTAAAAAAATGATGCTGTGAGTTTTTTGAAATCTTTTCTCAAGTTATTCCATTTTACAACTAGTTTACTATGAGATTTTTATCAGGGTCTTATCAGACTGTTGAATTCTATAAAATGTTTTTTTATTCTTTCTTTATATTCATTCAAGTAATCATATTGTGCTTCTTTGTTGGTCTGTTGATATGAAGAATTTCATTGACTAATCTTTGAATTTAAGCCAACTTTGCATTCCTAGATTAAGTTTCACTTGGTCATGACATATTTTTTTTATATGTTGATAAACCTAACTTGCTAACATTTGGTTAAGGATTTTTATGTGTGGGTTCATTATGGATTTTGATCAGTAGTTCTAAGGTATTTATTTGATTTTGGTATCGAGATGATGTTGGCCTCATAAAACCAGTGATAAAGTACATCTTCCTCTTGTATTTTCTGAAAGACTGTGTAAAATTGGTATTTTTTTCTTTAAGTGTTAGCTAGCCTCACTAATGAAGCTGTCTGGGCTTTGAGTATTCTTGTGGGAGATTTTTAACAATAAATTAAATGTATTTATAGATACAATAAATTAAATGTATCTATATTTTCCAGAATGTTCTTTGAGAGTTTATTTCATCCAAGAAATTTATTATTTAATATAACTTTTCAAATTTATTGGCACAAAATTATTCCTAATATTTTTCTATTATCCTCTTAATTCAAGTAAGAGCTGCAGTGATAGCCTCTTTCTTGATAGTCATTTGTAGCTTATATCTCTCTCTTCTTCTTGATCAGTCCTCATAGAAGTTTATCATATTTTTTAAGAACTATATTTTTGTTTTATTGATTTTTTTCTTTAGTTTTTCTCTGTTTTCTTATTTCATTGATTTCAGTTTTCCTCTCTATTAATTTCCTTACTTCTCCTAACTTTGGATTTTATTTGCTCTTTATGTAATAGCTTCTGAAGGGGGATCACTAATGTGTGATCTTTTTCCTTTTCCAATACAAACATTAATGCTACAAACTTCCTTCTAAGTGTTGCTTTTAACTGCATTCCATGCATTGCTTTTAACTGCATTCCATGCATTTTGATATATTGTTTTTACATTCTTATTCAACTCAGAAATATATGTATATTTAGAAGATATGTATATATCTTCTAATTATTTTGGTGATTTCTTCTTTGACTCATGAGTTATTTAGAATTGCACTGTTTAATTTTCAAATATTGGAGGTTTTTCCCAGATACATTTCTGTTATTGATCTCAATGTTAGTTTTTCTGTGGAACTAGAACATCAGTTCAGATCAGTTCAGTCGCTCAGTCATGTCTGACTCTCTGAAACCCCATGAACTGCAGCACACCAGGCCTCCCTGTCCATCACCAACTCCCAGAGTCCACCCAAACCCATGTCCATTGAGTCAGTGATGCCATCCAACCATCTCATCCTCTGTCGTCCCCTTCTCCTCATGCCCTCAATCTTTCCCAGCATCAGGCTCTTTTCCAGTGAGTCAGTTCTTCACATCAGGTGGCCAAAGTATTGGAGTTTCAGCTTCAACATCAGTCCTACAAATGAATACCCAGGACTGATCTCCTTTAGGATGGACTGGTTGGATCTCCTTGCGGTCCAAGGGACTCTCAAGAGTCTTCTCCAACACCACAATTCAAAAGCGTCAATGTTTCTGCACTCAGCTTTCTTTATAGTCCAACTCTCACATCCATACATGACCACTGGAAAAACCATAGCCTTTACTAGATGGACCTTTGTTGACCAAGTAATGTCTCTGCTTTTCAATATGCTGTCTAGGTTGGTCATAACTTTCCTTCCAAGGAGTAAGCGTCTTTTAATTTCATGGTTGAGGAACTAGAACATAATCTGTATTAATTTATCTTATAACATCTATTGAACTTTTTATTATGGCCCAAAATACTATCTCTCTGGGTAACTGTTCCATGTGCACTCAAAACCAGCATGGAATCTGCTGTTCTAGGACGTAGAGTTCTATAAATGTCAGTTCAGTCAAAATGATTGATAGTGATGTTAAAGTCGTCAATATTTCAAATATTATTTCTTCTAACCCTATCTTCTTTTTTTGAGACTTTCACTACCCAATGTTAGAATATTTGATATTGTTCTAGAGCTCTAGGACAAGTATTCTGCCTTTTTCACTCTTTTGCACTTTCTGTTTTAATTTGGATAATTTCTGTTGGCCTAGCTTCAGGTTCACTGATTATTTTCTCTACCATATTCAATCTGCTAATTAGATTAAGGAATTCCTTATCTAATATTGTAGAAATGTTGTTCTAACACTTTATTTTTCTATCTTTCTCTTTTGTATGGTTTTAATGTTCTTTCTGAATCCCTTACCTGTCTATGGTTATTAGTCATAGTTGTCAGAAAGTTCTTATTTGATAGTTTCATACTAAGCTTTCAAGACTGTTGATAATTTCCTCTCCGGTCCTTTTTGCTTGCTTATTTTTTTTTTTTTTTTGTATCTTACAACATTTTATTATCTTATGATACTCTGATGCATAAAAGAGTAGAAACTGAATTGAGCTATACTTATTTCCAGTTCCTTGCTTCTTCCCGCTTGTATGTCCAGGATCTTGTCTTCTCACTCTCTACCAAACATGAGATTGTTTACATATGCCATAGCTCCTCATTGGGTATTTTAAATTCTTTGCGACTAACTTTACGCAGTTGCCTGTGACTTCTGCTCTGTGATTCATTCCAAGAAAAGTATGATTTTGTAGATTAACAGTCTCCTTTTGGTGGTTAGAATGGAAGTGATATACTTTCATGTCTTTCTCCATCCTTTTCAGAAATGGAATTCTATTTTTTAAATTTGAATTCATTCATATATCTTCTCTAGCAGTTCTCTTTTGATAGAACCCACCTGCTTTAGCGATGCTGCTTGCCTTTCAAATTCATTGTGGAGGGTCCCCTTGGATACATAGCTAACTTCCTTTGTCTCTTTGGTGGAGCTGAGACAGGGAAGCGAAGGCACAGCAGAAGTCTCTGCCACTGTGACCTGAAGGACACCAATAAGTAAATGATGGGTTACGGAGGAAACTACAGTAAGAAGTGTATCCCCTCTCATTTCTTCCCCCAAATGCAAAGTCTGAAGTTTCCCACATGAGTGGGTGACCTCCCACCTGTTCATGTCCATGTAGGTTCTGGGGACACAGAAACCAGCAACTCTTCTCTAGAGCACATATTTGGCCCATGCTTCGGGCTTTCTCCAGAAAGATGGAGTTGTCTTCACCTGTGGGTATTCTCCCCAAATCTTCAGATTCAGATCAGAATACAGAGTAACCTTTTCAGCCTTTCAAGACCTAGACCACACCCTCCTAAGTCCCAGAAGGGGGAAAAGCAACATAGCAGTATCATCTGATTCATCCAACTACTGTTTTCCCAGAAATCTCCCTTATCTTCTGTTTTATCATTTCTAAGCTTATTTTTCAAAATAGTTTCATATGGATCTTTTATATGGATCATGTTTATGATCATAGCATAGACATCTGGGCTATATCTCCTTGAATGCAAGCACTTTAAGGTGTTTTAACTATACTCTGTCTTAGTGCAATAATCTAACATTTATTTAATAACATTAAATGGTGTTAATAGTACATTGTATTTCTAGACCACATTTAGAAGGGAAGTCTGCAATATTGGTATTCTCCTTGTAGTTTCAGATGTGTGCATCATGGGAAGTCTTCAAATGTCCACCCCCTGAAGCACTCTTGTTTACATTCATTTTAAGTCCCTGGGAACACAACAAATTAAGTTAGTTACACATAAGATGTCTACTTCTGTAGTCATTCTACTGTGATTTCTGTGAATAATTTATCAACCAGTTAAGGCTCATCAAATCTGGCTTTTTATGTTGAAACTATCTGTAAGGTCTCTTACTGTTTATCTCAACGTTTGAAATGCTATCATTTTAAATAAACATGTTTCTCCCTAAACAAGAATTTCATTATCAGAAGAAAGGAAAAAACTCTTGGCATATCAGGTGCCTGTCCTCTCGGATGTGTGTTTAGCATCTGGCACTTCTCCTTTGGCTGATGACCTTGAGTTCATTGTCTCCCTGTATTTGGCATCACCATTCCTCTTTATTTTATTTTATTCCAGGTGCTGGGGTTCCCCAGTTCCAACCGATTGCCCTGAATGGCCGAATTCAGGTCCTCAGCAACGGGTCTCTGTTGATCAAGCACGTGGTGGAAGAAGACAGTGGCTACTATCTGTGCAAGGTCAGCAACGATGTGGGCGCGGACGTCAGCAAGTCCATGTACCTCACGGTGAAAAGTAAGGAAGACGAGCTCTTCGTTTTACCTAAATAGGGCTCTGGGGCTTCCATTTTCAGTGGTCTCCACACACACTGTTTAAAAACAAAACAAAACAAAGCAGTGGTTTGTTGCAGCTGGGGGGTTGATGCTTTCCTGTCCTAAGCATACAGCTGAAGAGGATAGTAGAAATCCAGTGACTTTCAGAATAGGCAGAGTGTGCATCAGAATATGTGTCTGGGGCAGGGAGCCCTGGGTTTCCCTCCCTCTGTTCCCCTGGCCATGGGTCCAGGCTCTGAGCAGCCCAGCAGATGAGTGGGTTGCTGCCTTTGGCACCCAGATATCTCTCCTCTTGATTTTGTCATGGAAAAGCCTTGTGCATGGTCTCATGCACCTTCAGAGGTCTCTTCATGCTTTTTGTCATTTGCAAGCTTGTCCATAGATTTCCTTCTTTAAGATCACTGTGAAATCAAGAAACTGGAAACCTCATTATCAACATACATCCCTACAAGAAGATAAAGCATGTAGGACTAGACTTAGGGTCCATGTTGCTGACTGATCTTATAGGAAAGATACCTGATACTGAAATTATTTTTATACTTTGGTCACTAAACCACCAAAGAAAGGACATAAAGTAGACCAGCTTCTACTGAGCATTACTCATTAGCAAATGGTTGTACATCTAGTTTACAGTGAATGGCTTATGTCTTTCTCCATTTATATGCTTTTCTACTGGATAGATTGAGATATCGTCCTGACCACAAGCTTTAATCAGACTTCCTCTTTCTTATTTTAACTATGCTGTATATAGGTTTTCAAGGATCTCTACCATATTATTTATTAGGACACTGGACTTAAAAGTGAATTTCAGTGCTATGTGTGAGAGAGATAGAGACTTGAAGACTAGCTACACAAAGTCTAGTATACAATCTATTTTACTAAGAATTTATTCTAGTTAATCTATTTTTTTCTAATACAACAATGAAAATATCAAGCTATCTATTGCTATACTTTTGTATCATAGACAGATTATAGTTCTGAAATAAGGTTGCTTTGAAATATTAATACATTGTGAACATATCAATACATAATTTTGACTGCTAAATGTCATACTCTAGAAAAACTGATTTGCAATAATCAGAGGACAAAAAGTCATATCACTTAAATCCAAAGTTGAAGTGGTAATTTTTAAAAATAATAAATTGATGAAATATTAAGGAAACTCAAGATTTGAGAACCAAGATTGACCAGTACTGATCCATCTTTCCCCATCAAAAAGAATATATTTTGCAATGCTTTAACATATTTTTAAAAATTTTGCATGCTAAAAATAGCATTTTTTAATGAAAAATGATTCTATTTTCCAAAACAATAAGTGAGAAGAGGAACATTGTTTTACATTTTTACAAATGCTTTTAAAATATGGTTTTATAGAAGACTGTTCAGTTCTGATATCTCTTTCTGCATTTAGACTGTTAAAATATATTGTTCTGGTTGAATTAATAAAGAAAATTTAGCTTTGTACAGACATACTGTCAGAAAAGGAAAGAATATTTTAGTAGCTTTCTCAGATAATTGTGGATATTCTTCAGTGATTCTATACGAAAACTTAACCAGTCGTGGTTTTCAAGAAAATAGTTACTATGTGGAATTTGAAATAACATTAATGAATTTTCATACTTGGTTACACTATTCCATTGGTCTTTCTTGCCTTTTAAATAGAAACTTTACACAATCACAATTTTGTGACACACGATGGAAGTGAAAGTCGCTTAGTTGTGTCCAGCTCTTTGTGACCCCATGGACATTACAGTACAGTACATTTCTCCAGGCCAGAATACTGCAGTGGGGTAGCCATTCCCTTTTCCAGGGGATCTTCCCAACCCAGGGATCGAACCCAGGTCTCCCACATTACAGGCAAGTTACTATGTGGAATTTGAAATAACATTAATGAATTTTCATACTTGGTTACACTATTCCATTGGTCTTTCTTGCCTTTTAAATAGAAACTTTACATAATCACAATTTTGTGACACACTATGGAAGTGAAAGTGAAAGTCGCTTAGTTGTGTCCAGCTCTTTGTGACCCCATGGACATTACAGTACATTTCTCCAGGCCAGAATACTGCAGTGGGTAGCCATTCCCTTTTCCAGGGGATCTTCCCAACCCAGGGTTCGAACCCAGGTCTCCCGCATTACAGGCAGATTCTTTACCAGCTGAGCCACAAGGGAAGCCTGTAACACACTATATTGGTCATTTTAAAAACATTGTTTCACTGAGTTACACCAGTCTAACAAATGTTTGACTGAGGCATTTCACTAGTGGTGGTGGTCATTCAGTTGCTAAGTTGTGTCCCACACTTTTCGACCCCTTACACTGTAGCCCACCAGGCTCCTCTGTCCATGGGATTTCCCAGGCAAGAATCCTGGAGTGGGTTGCCATTTCCTTCTCTAGGGCACCTTCCTGCAAAAATCATAGTCGTTAATATTACCACTCATCTCCCGAGCAAGGTGGTTAAGAATAACATATTCTAGAAAAAAATTGTTTTCTATCCCACTCATACATATCTAGGCTGTAATAGATACAGAACCCTGTGAAGGATATAAATACAGGCAACCATGGACCTCACCTTCGTGAATGAAAGAGTTTATGTTTTGAGAAAGGAGACATCAAGGCAGGAGTGGAGCCTGCTAGTCACAGTGCAAAGAAAAGAATAAGGTGCACAGATATGCCTAGGAAGACAGCACCATCATTTTGAGGAGATTAAGGGAAGTGTCAGGGTGAAAAAATCTTTAAAAATGGGTAGAATTCGAAAATGCAGAAATTGAAGGTTTCCCCACATCTCTCTTCATACCTTGATGCTGATATTATAGTAGATATGGGACCACAAAGATGTCCACTTACTCTTAATGGACTTCCCCTCCATGGGACCGTCAGGCCTGGGTGTGGACAGTGCTGGCCCAGCAGAGGGCACCCCTGTCAGGACAGAGGGTGGGACATCTAGAACACACAGGTCCCCATCTCCTGTTCAATCAGTGACTACAGAACAACACCCAGGGTGCCAGAGTTTAGTCCTGAAGGATGCAGCGGAGTTCAAAAGATAGAGTTGTTGAGGGTAAACGGAGGCACAGGAGGGAGAGAGAGCAGATATAAGAGGTCAAAAGACTCAAAGCGAGAGGTAACTGTGTTTGAATGTTGTACCAGGTAGGTGGAGGGGACTAGAGAAAGAAACATTCAAAGCGAGTGTTCGTCAAAGACAGATGGTCTTAGAGCTGGCCAATCTTAGTTTCTGTCTCTCAAACCATACAGACTATTAGCAGAGAGGTGCATTTATGAAACAGTTCATTCTACCAGTTCTTGATAACCCTCGGGTAGCATTGTACAAAATTGAAGTCAGGAGGACAAGGGGATGACAGAGAATGAGATGATTGGATGGCATCACCAACTCGATGGACATGAGTCTGAGCAAACCCCAAGAGATAGTAAAGGACATGGAAGCTTAGCATGCTGCAGTCCATGAGGTCGCAAAGAGTCAGACGTGAACAACAAGCTTGTACATGATTTCAGCTCCAGGCGTTGGTATCTTTAACCCTCTAAAAGCATAATGTTTAAACTCTGAAAAAACATAAATTAAAACATAATTTCAGGAAGAGATATAAAACCACAGAGACAGAAGATACACAGTGACTCTGTTGCTCCACTGGTATCATTTAAACAAAAACAACAGCTAATGGAGGGATGGCTTGCTCTTGTTCTTTATGTACTTGCTTAGCAACACTATTAAGTCTGTGAACACTGACAGGTTTAGGCTCAGCACTTGGTCATGGTAGACCTGCCAGTTGGTGTGTAGATAGCTCTTTTACCAGGAAAACAGGAGGCAGTGGGAGCGGAGAGCCTCCACTCTGGCCTGGCACAGTCAGACTTGGTACCCAGCTGCCAAGCAAGCGGATTGCATGTCCCTGCAGCCATGGCGGGATTATACCTGACACTGCAGCAGAGATTCTGGGCCCTTCTTATCTGATGCTACCCAGGGTTGCATCAGGCATGATTTCTTTAATGTTTCAAAAGAAACTGCACTGCCCTCAGTAAAAATATTAAGTACTCTCTCTTTTCTATAAGTCATTAAAAAAAAAAAAAACTGGTCTGCAAATATTTTTAAGTGCAACAGGACAGGGCTTTCTACCCAATGGGGTTTGTCAGGAAATTAAGGTGGCTTCTCAGATGAGAGCTCCGGATGCCCAGGGAGGCTTGCATTGAATTTTACATACACTTTAAAGACCTGAACACTACTGCTAGAGTCTGGTGTGGAGGAGGACTCAGTGGATGCTGGGAACCAAATCCTGGCGCAGACNAGAGGCCATAGGAAGAGAAGATAGCAGGCAACCAAGTTTGGAATGAAAGGTCATGAGATAGAAAGCCATCATGAGATAGTAAAATAATCAGTGCATATCCTTCCAGCTTTGTTGGTATTCCTGCTTCTGGTTCAACCTTATCATCTCAATGCTGATTGATCATTTGTGAAAGATCATCCCAGGGATAGGGACCCAAAACACCAGATAATGTTCAGGACTTTTGGCAAAAAGGACAGGGGAGCTAGGCTTGACTTTGAATCAAATTTGGCCTCTGGTGACCATGCTACACCCCTCACCCTAGGCCCATCAGGGGTTGCAGAAGCCTCTCCCACCCCCACATCAGGGACCACTTGAGATCTGGGGAATGTGGTCTTTTGTGCTAAGAAAACAATTCCTGAAGTTGTAGAATCTTTCAAGTGGAAGAGCTATCTTCTCAGGTGCCAAAATTGCATCCTCCACTGTCCCAGGTTTCTGCCCCGGCCAATCTGAGCCTGTGTGCCTCCGGGAACACTGCTTTCCATGTGCATCTCTGGCCCACGATGCCAGGCAGCTCTTCATTGGTCCACCACTCTCACAGGTCCCTTCTGATCCCCACATGCTCTGCAATAGAGCATCCCTTATCAAACAGGGGCAGACGCTTCCCTGGAGAGTCTGTCGCTCATGGAATCC